CTCGCTCAACTTATCAAGCTCACTTCTGGAAGCATTACCCCCAAGGTTCCTAGCAAGAGTACGCGAGAGCAAAGGCCCCAGCATTTGCATAGCCTGCTGGGCAACATCATTGAGTTCCTGAGACTCATACTTGATGCTGACAAAGGTAGCCTGTTTATCCGGTGTTAGCTTTGGTGATGGTGTCCAACTGTCAACGGCCGATCTTACCCAGAACTCTGCAGCGCTTGCTTTCGGGAGTGGCTCCTTTCCGTCCAGTACCTGAAGGGTGAAGAGAAAGAAGAATTCGGCAGCATCGGAAGGCTGGAGACGAAGTAAAGTAATGGGGCGCTTGTTCAAAAGGCGTGTTACAAAGTCGATGCCGTTTTGTGTAAGTTCGGTGTCTACCTCATAATCTATTGTGAAGTTCATGGTTAGCTGAGTACTGGGTGTTGGCGGCAGAACCTACTAGGTAGCTGTTTAAGCAATCCAATTACCCAGAGGAGCACAGAGTTCAACATGTCTTGCTGGTTGTCGAGTCCATCATGTTCAAGGGAGCTGACGAAAGAGCAGGCAGTCTTGACGAGCAGGCCAACTCTTGGTGTCTCAAGATTCTGGTTCGTCAAATACTGTGCAACACTCTGTGGTGGCAGTACAAAGGGACCAGGTTCAGATTCGGAGAATCCACTGCGTAGGACACTGCAGATGAGCTCAACAACCTCACCGCTGGTGTTGAAGGCCTCTTGAATCTGGCTGATCATCGACATGATGCTTCCTTGGAGCTGAGCAAGATGGGGATCTATGACTCGAGTGCTGGGCCTGATACTCTCCAGATCAACCGATAACTCGGCTGGAGCTTGGAGACCTTTCCCAATGCTGGCCAGACATCTCAGAGACTTCAGTGCGGTGTGAAGGGCAGGGCTCTCATCGGGGGCAGCATATGAGCAGGCGTAAACAGCACAGCATGGCATCGGGCTGCCGTCGTAGGATCTTAGAAGGTCCAGAGAATGCTGGACATCAGTCTGAACAAACTCGAGAAGGCGGCCACACGCCGAATACCTCTGGTTTGAATCAGGCATCGCTTGGATGACTGATGCAATACCACCAACTACCTTTTCGCTAGCGCCGCAGTCAAGTCGCCTTCCGGATACTAGGCTCTGATACTCGTTGAGAAAGCTGTTGGCTTCTGTATGAAGATATCCGCGACAGGAACCGCATAATCTGTGAATGGACTTTGCTGCCGCGTTGGCCATTGCATGTTCTCCGACCACGCCAAAGATGAAGTTGAGCACGGGGTGAAGCTCGGAAACATTGCGCTCAAAGTACTCTGTGTAGCGGGCAATCAGAGAGACGCAAGTTTGCTGAACCTTGGGAGGAATCTCGGACTGGCCTGAACGCAAGATGGCGAACAGAGATGACTTGAAAACCACGGACAGAGCATCGTCACCTCTATTTGTCTCGCTGATACAATCGGCAAGTCCACCCAGACAAAAGGCCGCTGCTTCGAGCTGAGGCCATGACGATTCAGACAAAGCTTTCAGAATAAGGTCCGCAAAGGTAGACACGAGCTGCGGTCCAACCAATGTAAAGACGGACTGAAGAAGATCGACTACATCCTTTCTTGCATCATGGAAGCTTATCCGTTCGCTTGAGTCCCACGAGTGGAATTCTTCAGCAGGCGGGTATATGATTTTCTGCCACGCATTCGAAACAGCTTGCAGAAGATGGGAACGAGCTCGAGGGACCCAGGTGCCAGCTGACTCCTCGTCTGAATACGTTAGATCAGTCAATGTCTCAGCATACGTCAGCCAGAACTCGAGAGCTGGGACAAAGATCCTGTCCTCCTCAACAACATAACCTCGAGCAGCGAGTAGACCGCATAGATTTGAGAGCAGTTTCTCACTCCTGCTGTCTCCGCTTTGCATGAATCTCTCAATCTTGGCCTCTCCAAAGGCCAGAAAGAGCAGGCCGTATTGTAGAGAGTCAAACTCAAAGTCTCCTTGCACTAGTTTCTCATAGCGACGCTGAGACCAGGGGGAGTCAAAGAGGTGAGCAAGGTTGTCAAAATGGGTATCGCTCAGAAACATCAGGCAGTTGGATAGCAGGTCGACCATTAGCTCGACTGACACGCTGTAAAGTTCGTCGACTGTCAAGGAGGTGATTACTGCCGTGATCAAGGGTCCGATGGGTTCCGAGAGTCTTGTATCCTTGGAGGATGACTTTTGAGCGAACCATACCCACGACTGTATTTTTCGTCAGTGACCTTCGGCAGAGATGAATGTGGGCGCTTACCTGTAAGCATCGAATTGCGTCTTCATGGGCTTCTTCCGTTGTCGTTTGAGGTGACATGCTGCGACTCATCAAAGCCACTGCATCAGAGCTATTCTCCAAAATGGAACCATAGATACCGATACTTCCATTATGTTAGCCGGAAACAGAACAGTCGAGCACGAGGCACATACTTTTGCACCGAGTTCAGGTTGATCTTGGCAACCTCATCGAAGACGTTGGTCAATACCCACAGAGCAGCCTGTGCTTGTGATGGTTCCATGCGCTCCATAAGCGAAACTGTATCGGGTCCTTGTCCTTCATCGAGGGCACTTGGTAGACACGACTGGCCTGAGACTAAGCAGAATATGAGATGGCGAATGAATCGACTCCATAGTTGGTGAAAGTTGATGTAAAAGGTCGCAAGGGCTGATGCGAGTTTCCGGGCAACCAACGGTGAGCTTCGACTGCGCAGAGTATCCAGGTAGTGATTAATCAATAACAGTAACAGCTCAGATGCATCTTCGGGTGAGAGTGATGAACTACAGAGAGGTTCAGTAAGAGGCCAGTAACAACAACCAAAGACACAGATGAGTACCTTTCGTTATTGAGTTTGATGACGATGGTGAGTGCGCCAAAGAACTTGACCTGCTGATCAGGCTTCTCCAATAGGATACGGGCAAGGCCCCAAGCTTCAGGAGTGCCTTGAAGACGAGATAAGGTTGCTTGGGTCTGAGCAATCACTTCGGGCGGATTCGGTTGGTACAGTGAGAGAATGAGCTACAGAGGGAGAAAAGTTAGTCAAGACGATGCGATTTGCTGCGCTTCACGACAGAAGAAGCTTCTCCTTTATTGGTTCAATCATAGAAGAGAACAAGATCGATTATACATACTCTCTCAACTTCTGCTGGGTCTTCGGCCATCGTTGGAAGGGTTGTGTAGGTCACTCAAGCATGCGATGCGATGCGATCACTGGGCTTCCAGAGGCATGCCCCGCCATAGAGTCAAGGCTGGTGGGGGTTGAAAAATGACAGCCACAATGACCGTGAAAGGAAGCAAAGTTACAAATAATATCTTTATCCTTAATTGTTAGGCCATTCACTACTACAGCATTCACTATAGCATACCTTACGCATAAATGAATAGGGACATCACTCAGACAAGCTTCTTCGGTTGACAATATTATTATTTAATTACGTTTACGACGTTGCGCTACAACGTTCTTGTAGAATGCCTTCTTTCCGCTGGTCTTTTGTTTCTGGATACCGGCGTACTTGTCGGTGAACTTGTGACTATCAAGATCCCGCGTGACCTCCTCGAGGAGGGTGTTCTTCCTCTCCTTGCGCGTCAGTCTCGCGCTGAAGAACTCAGTCGGCCCGGCGATGATCTCGCCGACCTGGGAGTATTCGGGAGCGCTCGCGCGGAGGTTCTTCTTCTGGTGCTTGGGGTCCAAGATGCCTCGCATGCGGAGGACTTGCCACTCTCGCTTGAACTCGGGGGTCATGTTCGTCTTGGGGAGATCGAACCACTCAGGGCCTGCGGTAGACTATTGCGAAATTTTGTTAGCCATGTTTGTTCAACAGCGAGTTTCCTGGGCTGATGTGCCAAAAGTGTTTGCGCGAGGTAAAAGTCAGAGTAACTATGATATAAAGAGATCACGTTGTCATGGTCCTTTGATCCAAAACGGATACTGTCCCATGTCACAAAGGTTTGGGATAAATTTTCTTCATGCAAGTGGCAAACGGAATAGAATGGGAGGGAGTTTCTTTTTCTTACCTTTTCCTTGGCCTTGAGTCCCAGTTGCGGTTGAGGTGGTGCTCGAACAGTCAGGCCATCTTTCTTGCTGCTGCTGTTGGAGGAAGAGTTTTGCTGCTTGACAAGTTGTTTTGTTGTCGCGGCGTCGCCAGCGACTACAGCATTTGAGGTTGTGGAAGAGACGATAGCAGAGGCAGAAACAGGGCCATTTTTCAGACGCTGCTCAGCCTTGCGCAGCAGCTCATCGACCTGATCATCTGAGATGTCTGTCATGGTCTGCTGTCGACCGAGAGGGAAAAGAAGAAGAGAAGTGAAAGGAACGAGAAACGAGCGCGTAGAAATAGTTGAGAGATGGCAGAAAAAAATGGCAGTGGAGACATCAGGAGCCCCACTCTGGCCGCTTCCATCTGCTCTAAGGTACGGATACTGTTGATTAATGTACCAGGGAATAGGACCTTTACCTTATCCTACATAAAATTTGTAAGTTGCATACAAACTTGGGTAGTTTTGCCAAAGCCTAGGGACTCCTTATCGAGCTTATTTCAGCATCTTCCACAGTCTTATGCTTTCTTGCTGCTTGAGGGTTCGAGCTAGTACTCCGTAAGGTAGTTGATAGGTTGCTGCTTGCAGAGTGAGTACAAGGTTACCTACGCTTTAGGCTGTGATCACAGGCGATGCCCAGGACACGATATGTTTTCCCCCCAAACTACCTACATACATAAGCTTCTGCCCAAAAGCTTTCACAAAGCGTTTACTTAACAAAGGCTTAAACAGCAAAGCCCCTATAGCAGGCCAACATCACAAAAGTCAGTCATAGAAGGTGCCTCTGCTTCAGTGGTGCAATTGCGACCTTGACCAATATTAGTGAATAGGTAAGGTAGGTACCGCCTCTACGGAGTAGCGCCTGCAGGCTTACCCCACAACAGCTGTGTCAGTCAACCTTCTTCCTTCATCCCACCCAACAGAGTTCCATCCTCTACAACAAACCGCCACATTGAACCATGGAGAACAACCCAGCAGCAGGCCGCGCGAGGCCTGTTTATGATGCCTCTCAAGGTGGGCATTATGGCGCCAGCGCTTTGGTAAATCGAATCCCCTTCCTTCTCATGATGTGACGCGATGCGACGCGACGTGATAGCTTCAACCTCTGTTTGACATGGCCCTAATCTCTTGTTCAGCTCGCGACTCAAGGTTTCGCGCCCAGTGAGCTTTATACCGGTCCTTGGGCAAATGTAAGTCGGCCCGTTTCATATAATCTCATGCCATTGTAGATGGTAATGATTACGCTAACCCGGCAATGCTCTTGCAGGCGCATCAAGGCCTCACCGGTCAGTACAAGGACATCTTGACTACATACTGGCAACACACCATCTCCCACCTCGAAAACGACAACCACGACTACAAGATCCATCAGCTACCGCTTGCGCGCATCAAAAAAGTTATGAAGGCCGACCCCGAGGTCAAGATGATCTCCGCCGAGGCTCCCATCTTGTTCGCAAAGGGTTGCGAGATCTTCATCACAGAGTTGACCATGAGGGCCTGGATCCACGCCGAGGAGAACAAGCGCCGCACTCTTCAACGTTCAGACATTGCATCCGCTCTCGCCAAGTCTGACATGTTCGACTTTCTGATCGATATCGTCCCCCGCGAAGAAGCATCCAGCCACGCCAAGCGAACCCAGACCGCAGTTGCTCAACCGGCACCTGCTGGTCAGGCTCAAATGCCAGGACAGCACACGATGACCCAGGCACCCAACCAGGCCCATCCAATGGGTGGTGATTACATGGCTGGGCATGGCCTCGCTCCCGATCAAGACTACCGCAATCAGCCCAACATGTATCCCGACCAATCAGTGCCTAACCCCCAGGCCGCATACGGCCAGACCCAGCCTCCGACTATGAATCCGTACGGCAACATGGGCGACATGTATTCCTACTCAGCCATGCCACCACAGCAGACAAACATGCCAAACGAAGAATTTGAACAGTAGAACCCTCATCTTTCGTGAAACAGCTGCCGAGTCCGCCCATCTCACCTCTATGGCTTGGTAAAAGAATGATGGAAGTGAAGAGTTGGAGGAACATCGGGATCGGTTATGGTATGGATATGGGTGTTAAAGGACTACGAACTTTATTCTTCTTAGCAACGATTCCCAAGTATGATTTGATATGACATTCAATGCCCTTGTCCCCTTTCCCATCTATGTGAAGCTTCACGCAAGAGTTGTGGAAACCAATACCCGCCATTTCCTAACCGTAGTCTTCGGAAAAGCAGTTTCTAATGTACAAATGTTTTACATGGAATTCTTTTATAGCCCAACAGCCTCTCGGACAACCTGCATGGTTTCCTCAGCACTCTTCCGTGCCTTTTCAGCACCAATTGCCTCAATCGAATCGAGGTACTTATCCCCCTTATCCAGGAGCTCGGTATACCGATCACGAATACCATCTAACCCACCAATAACAGCATCACTGACCATGTCCTTGAGCTGCTTGGGTGAAAGATCGCTATACTGCTCTCCAAGCTCTTGGGCCTTTCTCCCCTCTGGATCGAAAATGGCCATGATATCAAGCAGATTCGAGATTCCTGGTCGTTCTTCTCTGTTGTAATTTATCCCCGGGATGGAGTCTGTTGTTGCAGCTTTGATTTTGGTCTTGATCTCTTCAGGCGAGTCGATGATGCTGATTCGTGATTTCGGTGACTTGCTGGACTTTGACATTTTCTCTGTTGGGTTCTGGAGAGACATCACCCGTTGCACAGGAGCTGTACATGGCATGTTAGTCTGGGTCAGAGAATCAAAGGTGAGAGTCTGGGACTTACAGGTGGTAGTTTGGGGGGATACTAGATGGTTGCCATAAGCTGCGTTGAAATTTGTCACGCACTCTCGCGCGAACTCGAGATGTTGTCTCTGATCTTCACCAACGGGAACATGAGTTGCTCTGAAGATATGAGTGTCAGCCTATGCTGTGCTGTGCTGGGAATGAGTAAACCACGAACCTGTGCACAAGAATATCGGCGGCTTGAAGAACGGGATATGAAAACAGGCCGAGCTTAAGGTTACTGGCTGCTTTATCGTTCATGTTCGACTTGTCACTAATGTTGAGTTTGCTCTGAATGAGAGTTAGCTTGAACGTTGACATCTTTTAGCATGTCCACTGACTTTCCACTGTGTCATTCTTGATAAATATCCCACGGATGCTGTACAACTGAGAATCCACATGAGTTCTGAGTGAGCGGGCACCTTTCCTATCAGCAACGATATAGCGAGTTGGTGGTGTAGGATCTCTCACAGAAGACTGATAGAACAGAGTAACTTTCTCAGGATCAGTACCAATTGCCAACAAGGCAGCCAATGCCTCCCTCTTGCTCTTCCTTAGCACATCCGCCGGCTGAGGTGTCGTTATAGCGTGGAGATCTACAATAGAGTAGATGAGCTTGTCTTCTTTATGCTTTTCTTGTAGCTTAACCCATTGTCGAAGTGCGCCGGCATAATTTCCGAGGTGAGGTATGCCCGTTGGTTGAATGCCCGAGAAAATCACTCGAGGTTTTGTGATTGCTGATTTTAACATGTTTGATATGACGCTCGATGGGAGCAATTGAGTCTGTGGATCAAGAGAGTCTAGTTAAGTCCTGTTGAGATTGAGACTGAGGTTGAGTCGTGAGTGGTTCGAGATTGTGTATGCATCTACCGGGGCGTCTTTCTTCGTGTTGTGAAAAGGCTCAAGAATTCCGGCAAATACCGAAATATGAAGAGATATAGTAATTAATTCATCTGCTACCGTTTAAGGATGTGCTTGGAAGTCTGAGAAAATTGTTTGCCGGTGTTGTGAGGTTATAGCCTCAGTAAGTATATCGTATCACTAAATCTTACGTTCAGAAGCACCAGCATGTTATTGCAATGAGAATGAGGAACAACTATCTTGATAAAGCCTTCACTCCTTTCCATCGTAAAGATTACTTTTGTCATTCCAGAACGTTGATTTTACAAAATTGGAGCCTTCTATGGGCTATTGTACACATAAAGTCCTCCTCCTATCTATGCCAAACAGGCCGGCCATTTCTCAGAGCCTTATGAAGAGGACTTCAAACTCATTCTCTATGTCTTCAACTCGCTCTTACACGCTCGTCGTAGGAGGAACCCTCAGGCCAGCAGCCTCACGGAATCTCCTTTGGTTAAGCAACTCCTCAACCTTTTCCACCGTACCAATCGTCTTTGTCTGACCAAGATGCGACCACTTGGCATCAATCTCACCCTTCTCCGCCTCCGGCAGTGCATCCATCTTCTTCCCGACGCTCAGCTCGCTAAACTCCCACATGTTGGCCTTCATTCCCACGCCGTAGAGTTGGTGCTTGCGCAGGTACGCGAGCCACAGCTGCACCGTCTCGGGATTCCCGTCGCGGATCTGGATAAGTCGTCTCAGCGTCTTTCGCTCAAAGTTCTCCTGCGACTTCTTGAAGATGAAGTTGTCTCGGGGGACGGTCCAGCGCTCTGTGATGCGGGGGAGAGGCACGGGGCCGTAGGCGGGCAGGCCGAGGTAGTAGGCGGCGCGGAGGGCAAAGTCGGAGAAGAATTCGAGGGGTTGGACACTGTAGGATCGGAGCTGGAGATCGCACGAGGGAATGCCGTGCTCGGCCTCGCGCTTTAGAGGCTTGAGGTGTAGGGCCTGGAGGGAGCGAGGGTATCGGCGTTCAGGAGCCTTTTCTGTTTGAGACTCCTCTACTTTGTTTGGTACCAGATCTCCTGGCTTGGCCCTAAATCAGTCAATATTTGTGGTCAAGCAATCGATCGTCGTAGCGAGTTGATATTCGGCGAGAAAAACGTACAGTGAGGCCTGTGTTCGGCGGGCAATCCATGACACCTCGGACTGGCACGAATGTTAGCTGAAGCGCCAATTGGGACCGACTTGGTAGTAGAATTCATACCGAGAAAGCCCGCAAGGGTCTAATACTTTGGCGCATCATCTTGCCTGCCTGTCGCTGGGCGTCGATCGATAGCGATGATGCTCGAAAATTGGTTCGAGATGTGTACGGATGGAATATCAATTATCCCCACTCACCTCCAAAATCGCAGGATCCACACTCTAAGCGCGCGTGTATACGACTAACAAAAGAAATGCTCTCAAGTTGACAGTTCTTATTGAACGTTTTAATAACTAGTTTAATTTATATATTTCTTCTGAGTAGTTATTCATTCATCCGACCTAACTTCAGCGGCCGAGCATCTAAGTCCTTCTTATCTCATTCATATAGACATCCCCTAACAGCCTTAAGTTCCTCTACACATGGCACATTCTCCCTTTATATGTTGGAACGTATATCAACAGCACATCTAAATAACAATTTATACGCTTCTTTCACATGGGCAATCTCATCACCTCCTCCTTGGTCCAGTATTTCCTCATATTATTCGCCCCCAACGTCTCAACCTCTTGGTCCAGATGCTTCCACAGCACCTCACCCCAAGTCTCCATCTTTGTCTTGAGCACACTGAGCTCAAACTCCTCATCTCCTGTCCTGCACTTCTTGAGGTATTCCTCAAAATGATCCAAACCCGCATGGATCTGCTTGTGCTGGCGGAGAAGTTCAGCGCGTCCTCCTCGGAACTCGGGCATCTTCTTGGCTAGCACGGGGAAGATGTACGTCTCCTCGATGTTGTGGTGCATGGTGAGATGCTCGGCGAATTGGAGACCTTCCATGATGAACTGCTTTAGTGACATGCCTTGGGGTCGACGGTTGTTGGTGCAGGCATTCCATAGGAGGTTCCATGATCTTCGAAAGTTGTTGTGCTGTATTACATTAGATAAGAGACCTACATGATAGATGTGAAGATAGACTTACAAAATATTCCATGTGGTCGGCCGCTCGGTTATAGATCTTAAACTCATGATCCGACAGCGGCGGTAACTCCTCCTCCTTTTTTGTTTCAACATTCTCAACAGGCTTTGCCTCTTCTTGGGGTTTTGATTCAGACATGACTGTTTGCTGATTATTACTTGAAGACGTGAAGAAAGAAGCAGTCGAAATATGAGATTTCTCGGATATAGCCACCCTGAAACGTAAAGAGGGTATCGAAAACGGTCCAAGTGGCAACGTCTGAGAATTAATCTTGTTTAGAGGCTTAACGTTTTTACAATGTTGCAACCGCCAAATAGCTCTCATGATTAACAAAGAAATGTTACCATAGAAAGGAAAAAGGACAAAGACACGGGAAATCTCACTAAAATATACAAAAACAGAAGAGTCTACCTCATGATGTCTCCAGATTGGGAACCCTTTGGACCACTCACAAGCCGTCCATATCCGCAATGGAAAAAGTCGACGAGATTGGAAATCGCTGACTGATGGACTCGGTCTTTATCCGCGCGCCAACTTAGTCATCACGTCTGTCTCGTTGAATCGCGCGCTTCGCTCAACCCCCAAAGCCCGAAACTCCATGCAAGAGTCGTTAGCTTCGGAGGTGGAATTGGAGAATTACATCCAGATACATCAGGTCTCGTGTCTATCTCTTCACGGTTGGTTGTAAGCGGTGTGAACTGATTTGGTAGTCATGAACCTGAACATGACATCCTCACTATCTATAGACCCTCAGACGGTATCTATTTGTGCAGCTCAAATAACTTTCGTCTCATGGATTCGTTCGCTACAGTAAAGACTTTTGATCTACTCTTCCTGTCATCTCTCATCTCATCTCACATCATAGCACCAGCACCAGCACAAGCAATGTTGACGAGTTCTATGTATCCATATTCCGTTTCGACCTAGTGACACGTAGCGAGTGCTTCCGCATCTTCGCCCCTTTTCATTAAAAGAAACCATCCCATGCAAAATGCAAACGACTAAGACGCCTCATCTCGTTCATTCCCCAATTCTTAACCCCGGACAGCCGCTCCAAGCGCACCGCCCGTGAACTGTGTTCCACCAGCTTGTCGTTGTGTGTTGCCACCTGCTCGCGCTCCTCCCCGGCCCTGTCCACCACCCCGTCTCTGTCCTCCTCGGCCTCGGCCTCCTTGTCTCTCGAATGCATTTGATGTTCCCTGTGTCTTTTGCTCCAGAGTTCGCTCGTTGCTCTCGATAAGTGCGCTGGCCTTGTCTGATAGGGCGAGAGCAAGCGATTGGAGACGGCTGAGCTCGACACCCTTGCGGAAGATGACGGTGGATGTGACTTGGTCCAGAGAGGCAGCGAGCTCCTCGTGGCTGATCATCTTGCTGATCACTGCCGCAACCTTGGTCGAGTCAAGCTCGAACATGGCGCTGAGGGTCTCGATGGAGAGGGTGTCGTAGAAGGGGGCGTAGGTGAAGAGGTAGGTTCGCAGACCCTCCTCTTGGATCTGCTTGGAGAGCATGGTCTTGATCTCCTCAGCGCTGGGCATCAAGTCCCAGATCTTGATGCTGTGGATGAAGTCAATCGACTTCTTCCACTCACCAGCAGCCAAGGCCTTTGATGCTTGCATCACGTGGTCACGGGTGTTCTCAGGAGGACCAGTGAAAATTTGTCGCTCATGGTACTCCAACATGCGGCGGTAGGTCTTGCTGATCACTCGCTTCTTGACATCAGGAGATGATCCAGTCTGGGCCAGCAGAGGAATCTCGAGGAGCATGCTGCATGTCAAGTACACACACTCGAGGAGCTCGAGGTTGATGTGCATGTGGAAGGGCAGTTGTCGCTGCTTCTCAAGGCGCTCCTGCTCAGGAGACACTTGGTTGTATCGCTGCATCATGACACCCTGAGCGAGCAGCTCCTTCTGGCGACCACTGCCGCAAATCTCCTGGAGAGTGTTCTGAGCCTCGTAAACGAGACCCTTGCGGAAAGCACAAAGACCAACTTGCACCAGAGTACGGTTGTAAAGAATTTGGCTCTGCACATCGAAGTTGGGGATGTTCTCCTGAAGATGGGACATCAACATCATATCACGAGCCTTGTAATACTCGCCGTGGAGGGCAAGGAAGTAAACCTGGCACAGCATAGCTCGGGCACGGATAATACCGTCGCTGTTGCTAAACAGGTAGTTGCAAAGAACGTTGACGAGGTTGCCAGCGTTCTGAGCTTGGTCACGGGGGGTGATGACAGACTCGACGGTCTCGCCAACAACCTTCCAGCAGTTCTCCTCGAAGGTCTTAACAACTTGGGCCGGCTAAAGAAATGTTAGTTACTGCAAAGCCATGTAGAAGGAAAGACTAGGAAATTACCTTGAAGTAGACGTGTTCCAAACGGCGCATAACAATTCGGTTCACGCTATCTTGGGGAATCTCAAGAGAGTCATCCTTTCGGAGGTACTCGTAGTAGAGGAGGCCACGGAAGATGATGTTGTAGAGAGCACCCTCGTCTTGCAATCGCTCGATGTACTCGGAGGTGTGAGGGTCGATGCTCTGGAGGGAGCGGACGAGCTCGTCATCAAGACGCTCGATGTAAGAGACAATGCTACCAGGAACCTTGATGTGCTTCTCACCCTCCTGCAGGGTAGGGGGCTTGTCATCGTCGTCCCACTCCTCAGCGTTCTCGACAACAACATAGTCGTGGTTGTCCTCGAGGACTTGGAGAAGGCTTGAGAGCTCCTTCTCGGCGGCCTTC